CTGTTCTCCTTTTACTCTCATTTGAGAGCGTAAAATTGTAGTTTGACCGTTCCACAGGTTTTAGTCCGAAGTTCAAAGGAACAGACTAACTATTAGAGAATGTTTTGAATAAAAATACTTATTGTGATATTTTGATGGAATACTAGTTTTTAAATATAGATTTTGCAAGTCATTGAATTTTTCGAGGATATCCCTAGCGTAGAGTGCAAAGTTGCGAAGTCCCAATTTAAAAATTGTACAGGAGAGGAAAAAACTTCTTATAGCCATTTTCTTCAAGTATTCCGAAAAACTTTGAATACAACATTTTGCCTGTTTAAAGCAAAGCAAAACTCCATACATCTATTCCGTGTGTTGCAATATCCACGAAAGCAGCAGTTAATTTTTTATGAAGAAAATTATTACAGAATATTCGAAAATTTCTCTACTTATATGTTTGGCTTTTCTTTGTTTTATTTTTCCAACGTCAAAAGCTGGATTTTTTTTTTGAAAAAGTTGGTACAACAAAAAATACGAAACACGTTTTCTGTCAGATAGCTAACATGGCGGATAAGAAGAAGAAGTGAAACTACCTTCTAAAAATTATTGTATCATGATTTCTAGTTTAAAAGTAAAATTCAAAATTACAAAATATTTTTGTGTGGCGATAATTTCGCCCCAAGAAAAAAACTCATTGTAACATACGAGGCATTTCATGTCACCACGGCCACCTCTGTGCGCGATCTCTAAGGATTTGTATGAAAATTGAAGAGATTGAAGGCCTAGGTGATATGAATATACGTGCAGCATATTTTGCCGATATGACGTAGGGTTGCCTATTTACACGGGACTTAAATTTTACGAAAACGTCATACATACCTTTCTTTAAAGTGCTGTATCTCGGAAACCTTTTAACGAAACTTAATGAAAAAAAAATTATTTCTTCCGTCTTATTATGGGCTTTAATTACACATTTTTTACATTAATGTGCAACGTACAAAAGGGATTATAGCATTAATAACTTTTTTTACATATAAACATTGTCTATAATGTCAACTTTAAGTACCTAAATGGGCATAATGGGCTACTTAGGCGTATGGACTCTAGATCGTCTAACGCTCGAGCAATATGATAAATAGGCATTGCAATTTTATGAAATTGCAGTGGCCAATTTTTGGAAAACCCTGGCCAAAAGTCCAAAAAAAAAATTGGTGCATCCGTATGCATAACCATCTTATATTGTTAGGAGGGCTCTACTGCGTATCGTTATGAGACAACAAGTCGATTCTCTTAAGGCATTTAGTGTTACAGGAGATCAAAGTGACTGTTGCTAGCAATTCGCTCTAAACTTTTCGTATATTAGAGTTTTCGTCGTTGTTAAAATCGTGGTATTATCTTTAAAAAAAATAAGGGTTCAAGCATCCGCTCATGGACATTGTAATCTAGAGTATGTAAAACATATTTTTTCATTGTCACGCCATCTAAAAACTGACATAAGACGAGGATATTCACAGATTGATTTTTTTGTTTACTCATTATGATGGATTAGGAAAATAGTTACGAGAGTGGTCGAGATGGGCGGTCTAATTTTCTTTTTCATATATATTGATGTTTTTCCCATCCACCTTGGTTAAAACCACCTGCCACAAGCCGCCACTGTAGTTTGGACATCAGTCTACCATTGCAATGGGGTAAGAATAATTTAGAGAAAAAGAAGGTGCTGTATGTTTCTAATTGGATGTCTGTAAAAAATAACTGCAATTAACTTTACAGTGGACTTAATTTCGACTATGACTACGTGCCGATTACTTTAATCCTATATTAAGCTTGTTTAAAAGGTCAAATAACATCAAGTTAGGGAACTTCGTATCCTTCTTTAACGAATCTTTAAATCAATGTATTTGTTTTTCCTTTTTAGTTCTTATTGTAATAAAAGCATGTTGTTGTTTTTTTTTAACTATAATTTTAATACTCATTACATAGTTTCATTTTTTACACACCTTTCCTTTTTCTTGTTTTAATAAAAGGACTAACCTTGAAGCTATCATTTCAGGTCTAATATTCATTTGCAATGAAACCAAAACATCAACAATATCAACATCAACATTAACCATCCCGAAGACCCCGATATAGTCCCGAGAGCCCCGAAAATCTCGAAGTAGTCTCGAAAAACCCGAAATAGTCCCACAAATTCTGAATTAGTCCGCAAAATCCCGAAACAGTCCAAAAATACCGAATTTGTCCCGAAGATCCCGATATGGTCCCTAGAACCCCGAAAATCTCGAAGTAGTTCCAAAAATCCCGAAGATTTTCGTAGAACACGATCTTGAAAGGTACTTGAATATAGTATTTGCAATGCATAAAAGAGGATTGTTTAGTTGAAAACTCACAAATCAAATGATTGGCTCTACAAATCAAATCACAAATAACTCTGATTTCTTATTAGGTTGACCAAGCAAATCACAAATAAAATTTATTTTTTATTTGGTTGAGGAAGCAAATGACAAATAAAACTTATCTTTTATATGGTTAGCCAAGTAAATCACAAATATAAGTTGCCTTTTATTTAGTTGACTAAGCAAATCACAAATAAAATTTATTTCTTATTTGGTTGACAAATCAAATCACAAATAAAATTTATTTAGAAATTGATGCAACTTTCAATTCGGAAATAAATTTGATTTATAGATTTGTGATTTGACTAAATCAAAATCACGCAACCCTGGTATGCAGACGACAACGTCTCTGATTGCGATGTTATTACTCTATCCGTCGTCTTCGTCTTGCTTTTGATCGATTACATTACAATCGTCTTGGTAACGTTTAAACTGGCTAATTTTTGAAGCATTCTTCTGCAGACGAATCGTTCGTGTTGCCTATCGTTCGTGATACATAGTAAGGCTGTAAGTTCAGAATCAAATAAATAATACACAATGATCCTCATGCATAAAAAGCGAGCTTAAGTTAAGACTAAACGTTTGCACTGATCAAGTGAGCGTAAGCTCAAGAATTTGTAACCTATCGTTTTATGCATGAGGCCCATTGTTTCGAAATTGGTATGCATAGGATTTGTTTGAAAATAAGTATATGCCAGCATAAGCATTTTAAGAACTTTCCAATTATATACTTTTTCAAAAATCCGTGACCTTAACGTAGTTCAATGTTACGCGATATGATTAATCTTGACACTTCTAAACAAGTAAAAACGAATACAATTTATTAGAGCTGTTTGTATAATTTAACAAATTGTCAAATACCGAACCTTTGCCTCTTATTTCGTCAAACTGGTTTGTGTTTATCAGAAATTAATTTGTGTTTAGTTAAAATCGAGTTGCTTTTAGTTGAATTTAATTTTGGTTAAATAAATTTTGCCCATTTATGAATGTATATACATACATATGTGCTATGTATATAAGATAAATATTGAACCAAAAAATTAAGGCATCAGTTCTGAGATATGATGTATTGGCGTTCAAATGTTTTTACTTAAGCTATGGACTTCAACGGAAGCTTTTTCCATTAGTATTACGGCTTTTATCAGCTTTTTGTATTTCAATAAAAAAAAAACCCTATTGCTAGTTATTATTAAAATTGTCATAACACTTTTTTCTATTTTCTTTAAGTACGCATTTGCGTCGTCGAATCCCGTGGCACATACCGCAAAACCCCAAAGTTTTGCCCAATTCTGGAATCAACTAGTAATATTGAATGTGTGATAGGAGTTGATCGTCTGGACTGTGTTCGACGGATACACAAAGGAACCGCCCACTTTGGTGTGCTCTCGGCAGAAGAGCTTATAGCAGCGCGTTGGGCGAGCGTTGAAATTTTGGTAACGAGTGAAATGCGTTCGCATGATACCCATTTCGAGTATGAAGTCGTCGCTGTGGTGGATAATGAGGCAAATATACATACAGCACATGATCTACGCGGTGCAAAACTCTGTCATCCTGGATATGGACTAGGCAACCATTGGACTGAAGTGTTAGCCAATGTACGTTAGACATACTAACGGCGCGTTTACATTGGACAATGCTGTGAAGATAATGAAGATATACGTATTAGTTGTCAAAAACGCATGCCTGGAAAAGTATGCATGTATTAGTGAAAAAGTGTGCATGTATTGCTATTGTCATGATAGTATTGTCCGGTGTAAACCCTAAGTAAGGGCCGTTTTCTCAAGTAACCTGTAACTTTAAAGCTCACTTTAGATTTAAAGGTTGCATTAGCATGTATGATTGTGTGTAAAGTAAACCATTTTACTATCGGTTTTAAATTGGGTTACAACCAAGAAACATTCACACGTCAAAAACCGATAATAGAAATGCTTAACTTTAGACATAGCTTTATTTCTAATCCAACCTTTAAATATAAAGTGAGCTTTAAAGTTACAGATTACTTGAAAAACGGCCCTACGTATACTCGTATACACGTACTTGTTTAATTTTTCAAACCGTATTTATTACTTTGTAGTACTTTGAGTCAACTCTGATCTCAAAATCATGTAATCCGGACATTTCGCTGACAGAAGACCGCATTAGCGCTTCGGCTAAATACTTTGGGCCCAGCTGCAAAGCCGGCCCATGGGTGCCTGATCCCACACAGGACCGAATACTTAAGGACCGCTACCCGTCATTTTGTCAACTGTGCTACGATTCATACCGTTGTGATATAGGTGACAAGCATTGGGGCCGTCGTGGTGCGCTGTATTGTCTCACTAATGGTGTTGGAAACGTTGCTTGGGCGCGTCTGGATGATGTTCGTAGCCACTTCGGCGTAAGTTGTCAAATATTATGTACATATGTATCTAGAATTTATTTATTCCAAGTCATTTATTTTTTCAGTTAACAGGACTACCGGCGCAGGCAGATCCTTCTGAGTATAGTTATCTCTGCGCCGACGGCCATTTGCAGCCTATCACCACCGAACGCCCATGTGTTTGGGTAGCTAAGCCCTGGCCGGTAATAGCTGCCCGGCGCACTCACGCTGCACAGATCCAAAATTTAGTAGCCGGTCTCAATCACGACGACCCCAATAGCTGGCAGAACGCATTACTCAGTTTGCTCGAGAACTTCCACGTAGAGATAGTTACACTTGATAATGTCATTCCCATCGATGACTACCTGGATCAGGCACCAGCTTTTCAGAGCGCTTACAGTTTCCCCGAATGCAATCCACCGCGCTCGATCGTTTATTGCACCACGTCGATAATTCAACATATTAAGTGTTCTTGGCTACAAGAAGCTTCCCAAGTGTACGGGGTCGAGCCGAATATTCAGTGTATACGATCTGACAGCATTGACTCCTGCATGGACGATATTAAATTCAAGGCCGCTGATGTGGTGTTGGTCGATCATGAAAACCGCATTAGAGCACAGCGTGACTACAATCTCGTCCCGATACTTTACGAATTCTCACAAGACATGCACGAACGCTATGCCATAATTGCAGTGGTGCATAAGAACTCAAAACTAAAATCATTTTCTGATCTTGAAGGAGCTAAAGCATGTCTTCCCTCATATGAGGGAAGACATGCTTTAGCT